ACCAGTTTCTTCTGCCCGCGATGCAGCGATGCCTTTGGAGGGCGCGTACCTCTCTGCCGTCACGTGCGGCGCGTGGAGAGCGGGAATACGCTGACTTGCTCGCAGATTTGGCACGAGACGTGGGGTGACGGCAAGAGCGTTCCCCTAGCCTAAAGAAGAAGATTAGATTCCGTAAGCGTAAGAGAGAGAGTGACGAGGAAGCGTAGGAAAGATAGTAGGAAGGGTAAGTCCAAATATTTGGTAATGCGCAGCGCGCGTAGAGAAAATATTTGCCCAGTTCCTAACTAACGGATTAGCGACGAGGAACAGGGCAAACTCTTCTCTGCGCGCCCGCCGCGCATTTTGGCACCACGAACGGATGGCTGTCGTCAAGGCGTTGGGCTGCTCGATCGGCTTCATGAGCCTAAACGAAAACTCGGGTATTGGTAGAATGCAGGTATTGACTGTGCTCTAACCGAAAATGAACCAATAGAAAATCGCAATTTGCGCAGCTGTTGGGTACATTGTGGACGCTATGTCCATGTTTCTGTGAAAAATTCGCCTAGCTCTTGGCCATGGAGAGCGAAGGGGGTTGCAGCAGGATAATTATAGGAGGTTTCTGAAGTATACTTTTATCGAGTATAATTCCTTATTCTGTAGGATACAGAATAAAAGCTCGGGCTAGAAGGGTTAAGGTGCCCCTGTCCAGATACCGGCTTCATGTCGTCTTCAACAGCTGTATGACTGCTCGTCTCGCTCAGCTTCTCAGCCTCGTCTCGCGCAGCTTTCTCAGCCTCGTCTTGCGCAGTTGGCACAAAGCGTAGAATGGAAGCTTCAAAACCTTGTAGTTTAGAACAGTAACAATTCGTATTTTCAGGCAACGTAACAAGCAATATATTCGAATAGCTGAATTAGCGTACTTGTCTCTTGTTGTTCACCATCACACTTGCTTTTGACGTCGGCAATCTCTCCCTCGTTGGCTTCCTTGGCATTGTCAGTATTGTCTTTGAGCCTGTCGGTGTCGGTGTTGGCGCTGACGACTGTGTGGCGTCCTTGGTCGGGGATCCAAATAGTACTGGGAATCGCTTTGAGATTATCGTTCCGTCCGTCGTCAGGATCGCGCTCCGGGTCATAATCCTCATCATTGTCATCGTCCACAGCAAAGCCTTGGGCAGCAAACACATAGTCGATGGGTTTACCCGAGCGACCTGTGGGCGTTTCGGTGCGCGCGTATATCGGGTTCGTGTTGAACAGGTCGTCACGGGTCATGCCGGGCTTGCGCGGGACACCGGCCGGGATGACAACAACATCGGCACCTTCAAGGGCTTCGCCAGCCTGCTCCATGCCCACGTGGCCCGTCACCTTAGCGTGCGTGTTGATGTGGCTTTAAAAGCTATCGTCGTTTCTATCGCTAAAGTGGTTGGCCTGCAGCTTGAAGCATCAGCCCTACCTCACCTTTCAGCGGTACCGCTATCGCCAGGGACAGGCCACACTGCCCGTAGGCCGTAGGCGACTGTAGACAGCTTGTGTACTACCGGTCAATCTGGGAAAATGAGCTTCCAGGCCAAAAAAATAGTTCTTCTTGTTTCTTGAACACAACGTCCTCCATGAAGTCGCGGCACTTTATTTGCTCAGCTTTCGGTGCTTTCGCATGTGCGACGGCACGCATACCAATGTGCTTCGTTCTTTGGGCAGTGGACAGGGTAGCCTATTAGAAAAGGCTGACATCGTATTTTCAATCCTCGAAGAAGATTTTAACACAACACAATGCGTTCCCAGGCGCATGCGTCGAAATTATTTTAATTAAAAAAATGAAAATAATGAAACAGCTATGAGAGATAAATATCTCTACAATTACAAGGAGTGTGTTACACAAGAAATCCTCAGATGGACTATATATCCAGTAGATATGTACGCTCCAGCAGTGTTTGACTTAGTAACACTAGACAACAAACGAGGTATTTTATTTGTTTTGCCTAGCATTTAGATGACTGTAGTACACGTACTACACTCGCGTAGGGTGGCATTTGGCGCTTCAATCAGACAATATTCGATTCAGTGATTCAAAACAGGGAAATGATTCGTTTTTAAGCGTGCAATTTCATCTTTAAATAAAAATTACCTGGAACCTTCTCCGTAGCCGCACTTGCAGGTGAGCTCGATTTCGTCGGACCAGCAACTTGCCTCGCCAGCTGTAGAGCAAAGTGTAGCTTAGTAGCGTGGGGCATATAAATGATCAATAGATCGTTAAGTACCTGTTGTAGCTTTGGTTATTGCACTAGCGCGTGCGTTCGTGTCGAATGGTCCAGAGGATGCATTTTGCGCTTAATTCCACGCAGAAGCAAAAGAAAGAAAGAAAGCGGATAAGCAGACACGATACACTACGCCACATGGCAACAGCTTACCCGACGTGTTTTGCCGGGGTGCGCTTGCACGCTTGGTTGCCATTAATCCAGGAGAAGTTTTCGTAGCTCCATCAGCAGCTAAAAGTGCCATCAGCGTTGTGTTAGTAAATCGATGTAGAAACTTTAGTACAAACGCGGCCTACCAGGTGCGTCGATTCAGCGAGATCGGGGGTGGTGGCTTCGATGGCCACCCCTTTTTCTTCGTCAGTTTCTTCCCCACATTGGAACTCGTCGCTGAGATCGAGGGGGAGCCGTTTGTATGCGATCACTTATTCGCTGCTGGCGTACTTGCTCAAGCTTGCCCTCTCGTCATCCAGGATTCTCGTATACGAGAGGACAGAAGTGGGGAAAGTTAAACAGCTGTAGTGGGGGA